ATATGTAGAATTTTCACAGAATGTGTATTTATATTGCTGCTATAACAACATAAAATAAAAAAGAAAACAAGTAAAATAGTAAAGACCCAAAAAAATCACGTTCCTTGTATGAGGATCATACAAGAAACGTGATTTTTTCTGTATTGATATGTGTTTTGTTTACAGACTAAAGCGAAACCTGGATTAACATGCAATAAAATGATGCTGTGTGTATGGTGGGATTGAACGTTTATCATGAGCTTTTACCGCCGGGTAAAACCATCGATTCGGATCTCTACTACCAATAAATAATGAGACAAGCAAGAAATAGAAAAAAATCACAAGATTAGTTATCTGTTTGAGACTTTCAATACACACTAACATTCCTAAAAATCCAGTATTTGCTTGAGTACTTAAAACTGGTTTGAAAGTTTTAGTCATTATTTTCTTTTGTTGCTTGTGTTCTTTGAAAGAAAGCTTTCTGCAGGTTTTAATATTTAAGTTTATATTTTTTTTCCATTATAAATGGGATGACTAAATCCATGTTCCTTCAAATCTCTGGTATTGAATATATCAAATAAAACTACTTGTCGCATTTTCTTAATCAAAATATCAAAATTTCTACAGCAACGTTTATTTTTTATTATGTCACTACCTACAAGATGGTAACAAATTATCGAAAAGAATGGACCCATATTATAATTAAATGTAATAAAACTTTAAAACAAAAACGTCTTGAATTTGTATACAATATACGAAGAAACTTTTTCCCCGGTCTTATATACTAACTAAAGGTGTAACAAAATAGTACTTAATAACTTAGGGAATGATTCTGCCCGTCAACTTGAATATTTTTTATTATGGGATCATCTTCGAAATTTTTAATTTATACGAGATAGACCCATACTGCAGCTATATTACTGGTATAGTTGTAGCACGAATGGGTCAGCTCGACCGGGGAAGGACCACGCTCTCACATAATACTAGTGTAAAATAGGAGCTTAACGCTGCAGTGTTTCCTATGGTGAGTGTAGAGAACCTGAGACCCTTTTTACTGGAAACGAGGCATTCCATCTTAGTCCTCAGGGGTTGCAACGCATCTGCATTTTGATTCTTAACCGACGATAGATGTATATGTCTATGGACCACGGCAACCACTTACCATCAGGTGGACTGAGTGCTCGTTTGTCGCCCTGATCCTATAAAAAATATCTCAAAGTCAGTTATTCCATACAAAATTTCGTACTAAATTACTCAAAATGTATGGAAGACCTGATTTTTCTTGCGATTTGGAAGATAGATCTATAGTAAAAGTTGTTCATATTGACGCGTAGAATAGAAAGCACTATTTTCATTACACCATATATATAACTATTTTTTTTAAATAATTTGTGAATATTAGTTAGACATGTAAATAAAAAAAATAAACTGATAAAAAGGAGGCCTTATTATTTATAGGTCATTTATTCAGAAGAAAAACCTATACATAATATACACAAATATATTGATACATTCGTTATTAATAAACTATTAATTTTTAAGTATTTCTGGAATACATTCATAACTATGAACTTAACTACTAAGCCGTAGCATAAAATAAAATTTCCCGTTAATTGGGTATTAGTCAAGCTGCTGGCATATACAATTTTTCACGCACACTAGCATCATGTAAATTGTCTTATACACATTACAATATTAAGATGCCGCAATCATGGAGCTGTTACATGTATGGAGCGCGGTATCTAGTCAGAGCGCGCGATGACTTATCATTAATCTATGGATAAATTATATGCTTACAACAAAAATATCTGCATTACTCATTAAGGTAAAAGTAATAACAAAAACATGTAATTTTTGATTGCATAGCTTGGTTGTTTTTTATTTTCAATTACTCAATTTTGAACTAACAATTTTTTTTAAATATTTTGTAATAAGTCACTAGTATTGTGTCATGGTGTTTTCCTTCCTTTTCTATACCGTGCGATATTGATCGCATAGACGCGATGATAGAAAGTATTATGTTGCTTTGCTCCGTTATCCGTTCATTATTTTTTTGTTAATTAAAGTTTTTTACACTTTTATTGGTCGTTTTTTTTTTAACTACGATAAGATCTAAAACTACAATAAGATGTCAAGACGGATTCAAGTCAAGAGAGGATTTGTAAAAATATAATACAAAGTTTTATGAGTAACGGTGGAATAGTCGGCGTGGTTAAAAAATACGAAGCTCATTACCTGTTGTTAGTGCCTATCTTGTAAATAGGATATAGGAGTAGGATAAGGGTTAATTTAAACCCGTTTGACCACTACTGTCTGCATCACAGATACAATGATGTATTCTTGTTATTCAAAAGCAATTTGCACACAATTTTCTTGTAGCTCTCTAGTTATACTTACTCATGTTTCCTCTACGTAATTAACTCAAACAAACCAAAAATCGGTTTCATAACTGAAATATTTTTCATGCAAACACATTTAATAATCGCAGGAATTTAGTTTTCCTCCGCTTACATTACAATTCCGGACACCTACGAGAGTCGAAAATATTTTTAGATTGACTGTTTTGGGTTTGAACATCCATTAAGTAAATGTAAAAGCTACTTAGCAATCTTAATAGCAAGTACGCAGTTCCAAAAATAAGTAGATGAACTGTTTTCATGGGGTAATATCTGGAGGAATATTTGGCTCTATATTACCTCGCGGGGTGGGCAACACGAGCTATGTCGGGCTTGCACGGACTACATCAAAGCGTTTTGCCGTAAAGCTGTCACAACCGCAGCTATAACAAATAAGCGACTCTGCTTAGCAGTCTAAGCAAAGTCGCTTATTTGTTATATGTACCTAGTAGGAAAAGCAAAATCTCCAATACTTCTCTTTCTGCAGCCAAACAACATGCATCCAGAATTCGTTCGATAACCCACGTAGACCGCCAACTCTACAATAATTATGCATTGCATCATGTCTAGTATCATTTTTCGGCTAGTTGAAGTACGCGATATTGTACACCACGTGTAAGAACAACTGTAATTTGTTAATTAAGAGCTTCTTCGCGTCGTGTCACGTTCCGAGTTACAGGCGTCAATTAAATTCTATCATTTCTAATTAATCAAATAATATATGCGGAGCGCTACGCTATAGCTGAATTACGGTACGATTGGAGCGTACAATGGCAGTATAATGCTTCGTGGAGAAGAACCGGAGGGCGGACGGGAGGGGCACTTGGTTTTTCGTGACCCCCATTCCCCTTTTTGGCTATGCTTCTACTATTTAAGTTCTTAGTGAATGTTAACCTAAGATGACAACACATCACCATTTTGATTCTTATTCAAGGAGGAATCCACTTATCATCAGTTGAACTGTGTTATTGTGTATTTGATTGTCAATCGCCTCGATCGCAATCGATTACTGTTGAGAATGAATCAGACCCATTACATTTTTCTAGAAAATTCAATTAAATTATTATTAAACAATTTTTGTGGTCATCTAATAAAATGCTTTGTCCTAAATGCCTGACTGACGGATCAACGCACAGCCCAAACCGCTGATCGTAGAGACGTGAAACTTGGAGGGTGCGTTCTTTGTATGACGTAGGCATCCGGTAAGAAAGTATTTTCCAAAATTCTACCCCTAAGGATGTTAAAAACGGGGGCAAAGTTTGTATGGAACAACGTTTCCGATACGATTCCTTGGTTCAATCTACTTTAAATTTTGCATAAATATTCTTTAACAGAATTTATGGAAGACGTGTTTCGTATTTCATCGAAACTCATTGCCTAACGGGGTTAAAAAGGGGTAGAAAGTTATTTTGGGGGTAATTTGCATCGAAGTTGATATCAATACTCCTTAGTGCTTTTGATTTAAATTACATTTTATTTTGACACATGTTCGAAAACTCAAAACGTTGACACATAAAAGCTTAGTACAATGCAAGGAGGTTTATATTATATTATAACCTCCTTGGTGCAATGTAATGCAAAATAATCTTTAAAATTGGAATGTTAAATATAAAAGAATATTCAAATCGCGTTAGAATTCAAAATTTCATTTTTATTTGTTCTTGGATTATTTTAATGAAAAACTTACCTTATACCTTGATCTTCCTTAGAAAATTCCTTGGAAATCTCTTAGATTACCGACTTAGTGAATATTTGCGATTGCTGGATAATTTGTTTGGAAGTTAATTTTCATTATATCATTAGAATATTTTGAGTGTAGTTAATTTAATTTCTTTTTCATTTGTTGTTATAATAATTAAATAAGATTCTTTGAGTTTGATTTGTATTATATAGGTTTTTAGTTGTAATTGTAAAAATATCTGTGTTTGATTTCTTGTGTATAATAATATAATTTTCTTTTTGTTTTAATATAGATATATAAGTAGGTAGTAGTTTGTCTTAAAAGTTTAATTTAATAAAATACAATATAAGAAAATTGTTTTTCGCAATTTTCTTATGTTTATAAATTTGTCTGTGTTTATTTTTAAAAATGGGAGCAGAGGTGGTTAACATCAATGGGAAATTAATGCACCTATAATAGCATTTCGTAATGGCGTAGGACGTATCCATACCGAAAAAATATTTATAGGACATACAAATACTTTTCTACACCAAAATTAAATTTGGGGCCAGCAGCCCTCAGCTAAATGCCTTTTTATATAGAATAAGGGTGACAAATGAACACACAGTTCACCTGATGGGAAGTGGACGCTGTAGCCCATAGACATCTACGTGTACTCTCGATTAAGAATCAAAATGCGGATACGTTGTCACCCCTGAGGACAGAGATAGAATGCCTCCTTTCCAGTAAAAAGGGTCTCCGGTTCTCTATACTCACCATATGAAACATAGCAGCATTGAGCTGCTATTTTACGCTGGTGTTCTGTGAGAGCGTGGTCCTACCCCGGTCAAACCGCCCCATTCGTGCTACAAACATAATATAGCTGCAGTGTGGCTCTGCCTAAATCCCGCGTCATCGAGCAACAAGCAGTTGGTGCCACAATTTAATAGATCAATACTTTTCAGGTTAATTACAATTGCTACGTTGAATTTATGTATGGGTTATGGAATTGCTCCAAAATCATTCGAATACCATGGTATCTGTAAAAGTATGTTCTGCAATTCAATGGAAGCTTTAAATCGATTAAAAAATTGCACTGTGGTGTTAGGGAACCTCCACGTGTTGCTGCTAGAAAAAACTAGACGAGAACATTTTACAAATGTGTCATTTCCAAAACTGAAAGAGGTGGGTTTTTTAATTTTTCCTTTGTATTTAATATTATTATAAAAAGTGCAAAATGTGGTTGTCGTTGCCATTGATACCGCCGCAGGCTTGATAAGGTTTGGGTTGAGAAGAATAAATAATAAAGCCACTTTACCTGTCATGTTTATTTTTGTTAGAATTATATTTATATATAAGTTTAAATACTTTGTTTTGCTAAATTTTTAAATACTATGCTATTCACAATACTTAGGTTTTTGCATATTACAATTCTTTATAACCGCATTATTCTTTAAAAATAGATGTAGCATTAGGCTTAGATCAATGCTTTTTTACAATAATTTTTTAATAAAACCGTAGTGACAAATGAACTTATAGTACATTTGAAGGTAAATCCATAGACACTTGCAGCCAGTATTAAACAAAGAAGGCTCTAGATACGTTGTTACCATTTAGGTCTAAGATTGAATGTTCTTCTTATGCCAGAAAGACAAAACGTGCATGCGGTTCACCTGATGGTAAGTGATTACCGCCGCCAATGAACAACTGCAACAGCAGGCGAATTGCAGGTGTGTTGCCGGCATTGTCTGTAATGAGGGCTAGTAATCTTCCACTCACCAGATGTCGCTAGTTGTGACCGAGGTAAAATTTTTGTTACACAGTGTCTGTTAATTGAGAAATTAGTTTTAAATACTAGTTTATCACTATCTAGAGTATTATATTAATACACAACACAATGCGTCAGTGGTTCGATTTTTAATTATTTTGCACTTTATAACACTTTTTATAAAAATCGGCGTTTAGTTATATTTATAGATTGGTTTATTAATTTCTAATGTATTTAATATAAATATAACTAATAATACAGAAAGAAACCTTAAAGATTACATTTTCCTAAGAAATTATCGCCCCCGCTATGAAATATGTTAAATATTTTACCTCACTGTAAAGTGATGCCGCCCTGGTGGCAGAAAAAGTCGTGGATGCCCTCATTAAGCTGTCTCTCTATATCCTTCAGACAGCGACACACATCCTATTTAGACAGACTGGTAGGCAGAAGAGAAGTCCTACCATTTGTAATTTCTCTGAGGATCTCGCTCGATAGTTATCCGATGCTGGAAAAGGCTGGGAGTAATTAAGTAATATAACTCCTGCGCACACTATTGTTATGATAAATATAATGTTAACAATATATTAATACAAATATAAACAAAAAACCACGTTTACTTTTTAAAATTCCATTCCGTTTTCATTACTAAATATTGTGGCCCAATTACGTAATTATAGCTCTAGAATATCGGATCAAGTTACTTTGTAAGCATAAATGATGTAAAATTTTAAAAAGGAATGTACATAATTAAAAATAAATTTAAAAAACATTATTTTTAATTATTTGCAGTATCGGGAAGTCAATTGTTATCAGACAGCTATTTAGGTTAATGAAGAACTTATTTTAATATATCAGAGAGGAAGTCACTTATCACATTCGATTAATTAATTCTTGCGCGAAAAGAATTTTGTGACTGGCATTATTTTTTAAGCATATATTAAGCTTTGGTCTTAAGTACAATATTTTTTATAATAAAATCGCAGTGACAAATAAACATATAATCCACCTGATGGTAGGTAATATTCATTTAATTCCAATGTGTAAAGTTACACAAGCTCTTGACTGTACATAAAATAAGAATGGTGGCTTTGCTTTGTACTATATTTTTTGAGTCTCTTGGGGGGAACTGCTACCCCCCCCCCCCCCCCCCCTCCACCTGGCGGCGCTCTTGTACCACTTGATCATATGTACTGATGTAACCGAAGACGGTAAAACTGCTTCAATCAATAAAAACCAAATATATTCTATTCTATTGATATACAGTATTAGCAGGTTGTAATGTTCTAATGAAATCCATGCATTAGATTACAGGTTTTCTAGTAGTGTACCGAGTAAGAGGTTTGGAGAACCTCGGACAGTTGTTTCCCAATCTAGCAAGGATACGTGGTGCCCAGCTTTTGTACAACTATGCACTCATCGTTTATGATATGCCTAATCTAAAAGAGGTACTGTTTTAAGCTTATTATATAAATATACTGCACATTATCTAGGGTTAATTGCTTTATGTAAAATTTATTTTAGAAGGTATGTGAAGTCGCCCTCCAATCAAACAAAAGCCCGTTGCTGAATTTGCACTTGAACTTGGACTCTGCGTTTATAGATTTTTTTTTTATTGGATAAGGGTGACAAACGAGTACACAGTCCACCTGATCGTAAGTGGTTGCTGTGGCCCATAGACCTCTACATTTATCCTCGACTAGGAATCAAAATGCAGATGCGTTGTCACCCGTGAGGACTAAGACGGAATGCCTCGGTTTCCAGTAAAAAGGGTCTCCGGTTCTCTACACTCACGATACGAAACACAGCAGTATTAAGCTGCTGTTTTATTTGTCCAACAGATATATGTATAGAATATCTTCTATATATATATATATATATATATATATATGTATATATTCTGTTTTATTCGAACTTCGTCACATTTTTTTCTCATTATTAGTTTACTTTTGCTGCACTACCTCCTATATGTTTATCTCTGCTTAGCCTAGTGGTTGACTGGGAGAGAATGCCTTAAGGCATTAAGTCCGCCATAAGTTTAAATAAATAAACAGATCTTTGTTCAATATTGTTTTCTCTCTATGTAAGAGGCTGTAGACGTTGTAGATGTAACAACTAGCTTGTATTTGTGGCTGTCGTCCGAAGGTACTGTAGTATATATAGAATAGCTCCGAACTACCACACGAAGCCTTGGTTGATCCCACTTGCCTGGCGTGAGATCTCCCCTTTCCATCCATTACCAAATATCGGAGACCTGCGCAAGGCCATTGGCAGTAACTGGATGTGTGAAGTCAAGAGTCGTCCTAGATATGTTTACCTTGGACCTTGGCGGCCCTTTCCTAAGTTGACTCCAACGACAAGATGAAATAAGGGAATGCAATTTGTGACGAATGACTAATGCTTGTTATATTGTAAAATAATTTCAAAAAATGTCCGTTCACGTTTTAGATAGGACTCTACAGTTTACTAAAAATCGATAGAGGCGGTGTTATAATCTGGACAGTATCACAAGCGTGTTTCATAGACACAGTGGATTGGAAATCTATTGCGCCCGGTTCCAGGCACGTGCTAAGTGTGGATAGACATGCTCATTGTTATATACATTGCACATGCAGCAGGAACGCTTTGACGAACCATTGTTGGAACAACAGGTAACGTGTGTTATAAATATGATGCCGTTTAACTAATTTTATTCAACAGATATTGACTAATATTGCGCAAATACTCAAAGGCTGTTCAATTTTCTGATGACGTTAAGTCTCGTGCTGTCTCTGTCACTTTAAGTCAAAGTGACTGTGACACCACGAGACTTAACGACATCTTACAATTTAGTAGCGTTTTGAGTATTTGGCCATTAATACTTCTTCTACACTATATTACTATTATAAAGAGGAAAGATTTGTTTGTTTGTTTGTTTGAATTGAATAGGCTCCGAAACTACTGGACCGATTTGAAAAATTCTTTCACCATTAGAATCCTACATTATCCCTGATGAACATAGGCTATATAATATTTTCAAAAAGTTAGGAATCCGTATGAAAAATTCGTTAATGTAACCCAAGGTGTAAAAAAAATACCAAAAAGAATCCTTATATCGCGTACGCTGCGGAAACTATTGATAATAGAGCAAAGTAATGTATTTCTGTTTTATAGAGGATATCAATATCTACAAAAAAGTCTGCGATACCGTACGTTTAACAATTACAGTTATGTCACAATAACTATTTTTTCATGTTAAAATGTGAAATAATAACGACGGTACAAACTAGGCCACATTATTCGTATCAGTACCTGTATCATGCATAACCACCAATTATGTTAACCATGTAATTTTAGTAACATATTTCACTTTTTAAATCTTTGTTAATTCAGCAACCGTCCGTCGTGATGTCTCTCTCGAAGTTCGCATGTCGCAAGGCGCATACGAGTGATACCGTGGGGCACAGCTAGTAGTAATATATAAAATTCTCATGTCGCGGTGTTTGTAACCAAACTCCTCCGAAACGGCTGAACCGATTTGTATGAAATTTTGTGTGCATATCGGGTAGGTCTGAGAATCGGACAACGTCTATTTTTCAAACCCTTAAGTGATAAGGGTGATCCACCTATTCTATCTATTACCAAGTTTAAATGTTTTATTAAGCTGAAACTGTATAAAAAGGGTTATTATAGTATAAATGAATACATGGTTGATAATAACCCCTGGGAATGAGGTGATCGCTTCCAAGCGGTTTCTAAAATAAATTTTGTAAATAGTTCGTAATCATTTATATTGTAAAATTTATTAAAAAAAAAGAGTCCCGCTGGGTTTCTTGCTGGTTCTTCCCAGGACAGAGGGTTTTTTTCGAACCAGTGGTAAAGTAAAAAATGACTTTCAATAAGAATTACACATGTAATGTATATTGAAAAAAAAAAACCAAACCAAACCAAAAACCCCTAAATATTTTTTTTGTGAAATTTTTTTTTTATTTTTATTTTATTATGATTTGGACGTTGTTATGCAAAAAGGATCCAACCCGCGATAAGTTAATTTGAGTTTATGATATTTGAAGTATCCATATATCAAATATCATAAACTCAAATTATCGGTATGGTTTCTGTCTGTTTGTAATTTTTCTTCTTATTTGTGTTACGTTTGCTAAAATTGTTACATCACATAATATTATAGACCACAAACATTATTTTTCAAGTCAACATTTTTGACACAAACTCCGTTTGGATCCTTTTTGCATAACCACGTCCATTTAGCATTGAAAAATACATAAAACTTCTAATTTTCACCCTTCTACGATCAACCTCTGTTTTTTAATTACGATTTTTAAAACCAAAAAATATTTCTTAGAAATAATGTATATGGCAAAACAACGTTTTCCGGGTCAGCTAGTGACTATTATAACACTAGATTATTCTTGTACCGAAGTAAAAAGCAAGACCCTTTGAAAGTTTGTCATAAAATTAATACATACATTAGTTTATCAAAAGTCAATTGCTGCGGATATCCTCATTCCTAAGTTTATCACGCAGAGAAACTCCGAGCATAGCCCTCTCCATAGCTCGCTGAGCGACCTTGAGCTTCCTCATACGGCCAGCAGTGAAGGACCACGTCTCAGATCCATAAGTCATCACTGGCAACATGCACTGGTTGTACAATTTCATTTTAAGGTTTTGAGGTATGTCTGACGAGAAGTGTCGTAGTTTCCCGAACTTTTAAAAAGAAAAGGAATTTAATTCGCGATTTTTTCTTAGTTCTTTAATTTGAGTTTCATATTTACAAATTTATTCGAACTTGGGAATTTATAATTACTGTATGACATGATAATAAGTTTACACTTATTAACAGATCCAACGTGTGAAATATTTGTGATCTATTGTTTGCGCTACACATTTTCCTTGTATCCCTTCTCTTCTTAACAATATCCCATTATTTCTCCAACATTATCATACAGGCGTCGTTACTCGTGTATCTATCACATGTAGGTAATCGAATGCTTTTGTCTGCTTACACTACGGCACGAAATATATCTTGCGTACAACTTCCAATTTTAATCGAATGTCGACGTTGTTGTCAAAATCAACTATAAAGTTTTTGTTATTGACTATTTACATAATAAAACTTTATGATTGGCCGAGTGTATTTTCTAAATAGTTTAAGACTTTTGTATAATGTGCTGATAATTATTTTCTTAATTTTATATTGGAGATGTATCTGCCTTGCTTTCGTTTCGCTAGAACCCAAGTTCGATCTCCACCGGCATCACTGAAATTGTTCATGTAACATAATAACATAAAACATAAACACTTACCCCTGTCACCGAATCATGTTCCTGAATATGCTATTCACTTTTTCAACATAAATTTGCTTTGTCACTTTCCTTATTCATTCTTTCTGCACGAATAAACAACCAAAGCATTTTTATAGAATTTGTAAATATAATTCTTTCACATTAATCTTTTGCGAAAAAATATCTTGAGGAATTATTTATACTGATAAATAAAAACTATTTAAGGGCATGCAAAAACTTGCTAGAGTAGAATAATAGGCTTGTCTTCTTGCTTATTCCTTAACTCTCTTTTATTAATAAGAGAAGGCCTGTTCTCAACAGTGGAGCAGTCTTTAATTTAATGTGTATCCGATATAACTTTTTAGTATATACTAGCGATTCGCCCCGGGTTCGCAAGGCTGATTTCTGGATCTCGACATCAGCACCACCTACCGAGTGCAGTTGTGAATCTAAACCATTATCGAATCAACTTAATCACACACTCAAAATTTCAGCAAAATCGGTCCAGCCGTTTAGAGAGAGTTCAGTCACATACACACGGACTGAAGAATTATTTAATATATGATATGCGTGTATAATAATACAAACCTGATACGTAGTTTAAAAGATCTAAGCGTACAGACGGAGGGAATCGACTTTATTTTATACTATGTAGAGATAATAGTTACAGTATAATTATAGATTTAAAGTGTAATTAATAAAATGATGTTAAGCGCTATTTCAATTATTGCATATAATGAAAAAAAAAAAACGCATTGGCATTCTATAGTTTCATAGCTAATGATTACTTACATTATTTAGTACTAGTGTTGGAACTTCGTGAAATATTTTAGTTCATACGATTAGGTTGAGTTACCTAACACCTTTTGCAAGGATGGCAAACATATGATTTTATAACACGCAGACCCCAGCAGGCACGTGATAGATAACCGTGGTAACGGCGTTGAATGAAATTGGAAATCTCAAGCCTAAGTTTTTAAATATTGTATTTGGTTTTTTTAAATACTATAAGGGAGACAAAATAACACTCAGTATACATGGTGGTAAGTGAATGCTGTGTAAGTGGACCCTTGAGGACTAACAGGGACTTGAGGTAAGACAAGGATAATGCCTTGTTTCCACTTAAAAGGTCGAATCTCCACGGTATTCTGTGACAGGGTATCGTGTCTTTCCCCAGTCGAACATTCGTGCTGGAGCCATAATTTTATTGTAGTGTTGTTCTACATCAATATATTCTTTTTACAAACACTGGCACTTCATAACCGTAATAATGTATATGTACGACTAACATATGAAGATATCAAAACGATCGCTATCCATATTTAATACCCTTTCATTTTTTTCTCATACTCAAGGTTTTAACACTAGGTTTCCAAACTGCCTTTTTCCGCTAGCAGATTTCCACGAAGTCCGCTTCTCATAGGCAACACGAAAACGAGCATTTGTAAGTACAAACCTTTATATCCTCAGTGACAGATCTGGCTGCTGATCTCGTTTTAGCCGCAAGGAGTAGGGAGAGCGGTGAGATCTTAATATCGACTTTCTATCCCCAGTTGCTCCACCTCGAGTTTGGAGGACAGGCCACCTGCATCCACACTCTATCTGGAGCGGACTGTTCATCCCACTGGGATCAGCCATCTCGGGTCAGCCACGTACGTTTTTCGCAGTTAACCGTGGGTGAATAAGCCTTATTCTGTTACTTGACATGTTAGGGCTTAGGACATATCATGGCAATTATCTGTATATCTATTTTGGAAATTACGCAAGAAGTTTATACGTGGTAGAGCCAAGCTGCAGCTATATTTATAATATAGTTGTAGCACGAATGGGTCGGCTCGAACGGGAAAGGACCATGCTCTCACAGAATACCAGCGTAAAATAGCAGCTCAATGCTGCTGTATTTCGTATGGTGAGTGTAGAGAACCAGATACCCTTTTTACTGGAAACGAGGCATTCCATCTTCTTCAGTCCTCACGGCTGACAACGCATCAGCATTTTGACTCGCAAACGAGGATAGATGTAGATGTCTATGGGCCACAGCAGCCACTTACCATCAGGTGGACTGTGTGCTCGTTTGTCTCACTATTCCTATAAATAAAAACTCAGTGAATATTATACATTTCAGAAAATGCCAACGTTACCTAGAAGGCCCCGAAGGTGAAAAATGTAAAAGCCAATGTCTCGGTTGTCGGAAGACAAATAGCAGCGATTGTTCCGTTTGCCGACATTACACGTTCAGGGGGCAATGTGTCTCCGAGTGCCCCAACGGAACGTAAGTTATAGCATTGTATAAGTGTTTGCTTACTACGATTTGAAATTTATTTCATTTCTTTTATCGCATCCATAATATATCAATCCGGAAATAAACATTTTTCATTGCATAAGTACATTACTGCTTTACTTTTTTTACTTACTTTACTTTACTTTAAATATATAATGAATATTGCATGCAAATATTATGCATGGAACAACTTGGTATGTCAAGGGCTTATAAAAAGATGAAGAATATAATTTTCTTTTGTATCTTTTTGTAGCTTACTTTTTAAGTATATTATATTATGTTCGTCGTACTATGTTTGTTTTTAGAAATAATAATATATCCTGGTCGGATTTTATACAGAATTAAGCTGTCTAATGCAATTTATATAGAGCATCCGCCGCCGCCTGTCATTTTGAGGGTGTCGTAAGAGGCGACAGAGGGAAATTGAAACAGTAGATGGGTAACTCAAAATAATAAAAACGGCGGTTATCAAGACGTCTGCCAATCGTGGCAACTATATCAAATTTGTATATCACCCATATCTTCAAGAGGCAATGTATGGGGGAGGCTTATGTACTACTTTTTAACTTTTATGTAATCAATGAACGAAGCTGTTTATTTATTACATTATTTTAGTTTTTTTTAGTGTCGTTCTGCCAGTAAACGAATATTGTCTGAGCAACGACGAATGCAACAAGCTGGATGGATGGTCGTGGAATAATACTTGTATATTTGAATGCCCCCTATATTATGTTAAAGAAAAAACTGCAAACGGTTTCACCTGTAGGTGGTGTAAGAATTGTACGGAGGTTAGTACAGAATAAAATAAACAACAACAAACAAAAACAAAAAAAAAACAATGAGTTTGTAATATTAATGGAATATATATTTGAATGTATGATAAAGAAAGTATGGTGTTTTTGGGTAAAATAAATGTTATTAATGCTGTAGAAATGCGGTAAATAAGAAAGTAAAATAGAACACAAATATAAAAAATTAATAACCCACAGCAACCACTTACTATCAGGTGGACTGTGTGCTCGTTTGTCGCCCTTATTCTTAAAATCCCCTATAATCAATCTTTATATAAAAATTTTAATCCCCATGAAATCCTTATTCTTATTAAAAAATTAAATAAAAAAGAGTGACAGCAAATTGTGCTGTCAGAGTCGGTAAGGAATGTCCTAGATGGAAGTTTTGACCAAATTGGCGATATATTGAAATTAAGAGTACCCTTAACCCTTAACTGACGAGCATGTATACATAGATATATGGATATGAAGGAAGCTAGAGAGGTACGTCAGGATTTTGCCAGTCCGCAGTTTTTGCCTACTCTTTTAGGTAATAGAAAAGACCTTACTTCTTTCTAAAAGGCCGGCAACGCACCTGCTATTCCCCTGGTGTTGCAGTTATTAATAGGCAGCGGTAGCCACTTACCAACAGGTTAGCCGCATGCTCGTTTGCCCCCCTCTCCTATAAAAAATATAATAGACATGAGACTTTTCATATTTACTCGCATAAATTGTGATGGGAAGTAACACTACTAGTATAGGGATATCGTCTCTCTTGTAAGCTACTGACAAGACCCAATTAGCCTTGTCTGAAACAATTTATAGCCAAAGAATAAAAATTAGTTAGTCTTGAGCGTGATCTGAGAACACAGTTGTTTCAAACGTTTTTGAAACTACATATATCTCGATTTGAAAAATAGTAAACTAACCTGTCAACTTCCAACTAATTGATGTTCCAACAATAATATTATTAGTATTATTCAACAACGTCTGTTGCTAAAATTAATAATAATAACTTATCACATTACAATACAAAACATTGTAGTTTTGATTACTTAACTTATTTATAGGTTACCAATTGTTTTATGGTTTGTATTAAGTAACAAGCGTCGTATAATTCCGCTTCTTTTTTTTTCGCTGCAATCCGACAGTGAAATATTTTAAATACTACGATCGCAGTAGCAAAGTTGACGTTTTCCTATCATTCCTCTTACTTTGAAACTTTCTCTAGTAGAAAAAATTAATTTGATAATGTTATACTAAAATTTTGTATTTCCTGTCAATTTGATATTTTTAAGATATACTATTTTTTTTCTTCAAATATTGATGAAAATTGTTTAATCTATGCGAAATAAAACTAATGTATATTAATTATATTTTCAGACCTGTGGAAGTCAATTCATTCGAAGCATTGAAACAATACAAGCAGCTAGACGATGTGTCTATATTAATGGCTCTTTGACTATACACATTTCATCAATACCTGAAATTGTTCAAGAATTAAGAACGTTTCTAAGCGTAGTACAAGAGGTTTCTGACTATATAGTTATTTATGGTTCGATTGCTATTACATCTTTAGATTTTTTATCGTCACTTAAACGTATTGGTGGAAGAAATTTACAAAAAGGAAAGTACAGCCTTGTTATATATGATATGCGGAATCTTCAGACATTATTTTTGTCGAATGTCACAGAAAATCTTAAAGTCGATCATGGAACTGTAAACTTCTATGGAAACCCAATGTTGTGTGCGAGTCAAATTGAAAAAGTGCAAATGAAATTTCCGACTCAACCAAATGAAATAGATGTCCCACAAGGCATGAATGGTTACAGTGGCGGGTGTAAGGAAGTATCTCTTGGACTTCAAGTAAGAGTTCTGAACGAGACATCAGCTCTGGTAATGTTTTCGCCAATAGCTGATACAGACGTACATTATTCCCTTCTCTACGTAAAACTTCCTCAAAGTGTTCATGAGACTTTCGTTCCAGAAACATGCAGCGAATCAGAATGGTTTGCAGTAGATGTTCCACCTGTGTTCAGTCAGCTAGGTATGGTTCAACTTTCATCCCTACATCCTGCTTCAAGTTACGCTATTTGTATAGAAACTTACGATCCTATACACAGAAACCTTGCTAGAAGTACAATACTAAGTTTTAAAACTCTTGTTGGCAAACCTGAACCTCCTTTCATTTCGGAACTAGTTGCTTCATCGTCTGACGTCGTAGTTATTCGTTGGGTAGATCACAAGAACTACAGATCTCATATTTCACATTATGAACTGGATGTTAATTTGATTGATATTCATTCTAAAGATATTTTGGCTAGAGACCATTGCGTAAATAAGGACGAAAGTTACTATGAAATAGATTTTACACGACATGCCGTAGTTTTGAAACCACCTCCAAGCTATGAAAAAGGTTGTGAATCAATGTGTGGAGTACTTTCTTCAGTAACAGAAGGGGCTATGACAGAAGAGCATTTTGAGGTGTGCAATAAATATGATTTAGAATGTGGATTAGAAACTAACATACGAAGCAATAAAAGCTTCGGAAAGTACGTTCAAAGTTTAGCCATAGATATAAAAGGCCCGAGAAATGATTTCCAAATTGGAGGTTTAGCACCATTTAGAGATTATAAGTTTAAATTGCGAGCATGCACTGAACATTCTTGCAGTAGATCTGCTCGGGGCGCTGTAAGAACGCTTCGCAAACACGGCGCAGATATACCTTCTATTACATTTATAGAAGCTAATTTAACTGGATACGTAACTGTGTATTGGAAACCACCTTTGCTTACAAACGGCCCAATATTATCATACACTATTGAAGTTTTACCGAGTATAATTTTAAATGATTTTAACAATCTTTTACCACAAGTATGGTGCATATCCAATAATACGACTAGCTTGACTGTCAAATCAGAAAAAGCTATGAAATATATTATAAGGGTCTGTACAACCACCCTGGGTTCTAGTAAATCATGTACTGGTTGGAAAAAAATTTATGTTACTATAAAACGCATCCCAACTTGGTGGTGGACTGGAATATTATTTGGTGTCATTCTATATTTCGTTTCAACTTTGGTTGGTTGGTTGTATAAAAATAGAAGAAACTACATAGATATGATACCTTTACTTGATAATAGGTTGAGTTACGGGAATGAAACGGAACCACCGAGTTTTATGTTGACAGACTTGGCTCCAATCTACTCTATTCCATTGCGTGATACTCATTTGGATTAAAAGTAAAAATAATGATTAAGGAAAGTAACAAATATGAAAAATGGTGAATATATAAATAAAGATTTTTTTTCTAAAACATCTGTTAAAATTATAAATTTAGCATAAGGAAATATCAATTTATTTGTGTAATATATTAAGAACATAATAGCAACACTGATATTTGAGTCGAGTAAATTTGATGAAAACTAATAAAGTATGATTTCCTTTAAATTTCAAATGTAATTAACATAAAAAAGTGTCATTGAATGAAGGCTAATATTGAAATGAAAAGGGGTGCTTAACGAATATTTCTTTAACTCTTAATTTTTATTAGCGTGAATAGCAATTTTATAAACTAAATATATAATCTTAGGAGGAATAAACGAACGTTTACGCCAAATGTCAGCCTCAATTGCAACACGTTGCACCATACGATTGAGGGTTATTTTGTCGTTGGACTTATAGCAGAAAACCAACTTAAATCTCACGGATTGTATTGATGGAGAGTAGCTTTACTAGCGAAAGAGTACCGGATCTGCGGTTATATAATCGCTTGGCCAGTATGGTAAGTACTGGCAATATTTTCACGAAAAAAATGTACGCTGGTATAACTTTGTAATAGCCGATGTCCAGTCCTGCAGTGCCTGCTGCAGTTAAAATGATCATATAGAAGAAGGATAGAAGATGTTGATAAAGGTTCTACTGCTTGATATCGTCACTCTTGTCGTATTGGCGTATAGTAATAGATGTCTTACTATGTTCTTACGGTGGTAGAGCCACGCAGCAGTTTTTGTTATTGTACGTATGGGCCGGCTCGAGCCGGGTTGTTACCACGACCTCACAGAATACCGGCGTGAAGTAGAGGCTCTACTTCTGCGTTTCGTCTGGTGAGTGGAGGTGGCCGGAGGCCCAATTCCCCCCCTCCCCCCATCAACATGGTAGCGGAATTACACGATAGACTACCCCAGGAGGGTACAAGTACCCCTGGAGAATCCCTCGCTGAGCATCCAACAAAACTGCAACTGGGCAAACTGAGCAAAAATACCAAGGCGACCGCTACCACGCTATCCGTGAATTTCTGCAACATCAGGGGACTTCACTCTAACCTAAACGCCGTCCACTACCATCTCGAGACGACAAAGCCGGCCTTGCTCTTTCTGACCAAGACGCAGGTTTCCTCTCCGGCTGATATTTCGTATTTCTCCTACCCGGGGTACAAATTGGAGCACTCCTTTGTGCCTCGGGCTGGAGTTTGCGTGCATGTCAGAGAGGACATCTGTTCTCGACGCCTCAGCAGTCTTGAAGGTTCGGACCTGTCCATTTGGCTACGCGTAGACAGCGACGACCATCCGCGCGTCTACGGGTGCCTCTATAGGTCCCATAGCGGTAATGCCGAAACAGACCGACTCATCGACCACGTCCAAATGGCTACAGATTCCTTGCTACAACAGGTCCCATCCGCAGAGATCGTGATCTTTGGCGATTGTAACGCCCACCTTGCCGAATGGCTCGGTTCACGTTTAACCGATTATGCGGGGAGATTTGTTTATGACTTTGCCTTGGCATATGGTCTGACACATCTGGTTACTTCGCCTACGCGGATTCCAGATGTGGACGATCATACACCTTTCCTGTTGGACATTCTGCTGACCTCTCATCCGGACGGATATCAGGTTTCCGTCGATCCCCTCTCGGCTCTTCGGACCATTGTCTGATCCGGAGTGTGGTGCCACTCACGCTCCCTTCGCGGTTGCGTTCTGCAGGTTGCCGCCGTGTTTGGCATTACAGGTCAGCGGATTGGAACGGAATGCGGTCTTTCTTTGCATCCTACCCATGGGGGCGGGTTTGCTTCTCGCCGGATGATCCCAGCGCTGTTGCTGACTCTGTCACTGATGTGGTGCTACAGGGAATGGAACTATTTATTCCATCATCTGTGGTACCCATCGGAGGCAGATCTCAGTCTTGGTTTGGTCGCTCCTGTAAGACTGCATTACGCAGTAAGCAGGAGTGTTATCAAGCCTGGGCTGCGGCTTCGGCGACTCGGGATGTAAACACCAGCACACTTAAAAAGAAGTATAACTTCGCCTCCAGGTCCTTCAAAAAAGTTATTGCCAAGACAAAGTCAGTGCACATTGGCAGAATTGGCGAGTAACTAGTTCGCCTTCCTTCGGGAACCCGTGCATTCTGGTCTCTCGCCAAGGCTGTCCAAGGGAATTTCTGTAAGCCATCACTACCATCTCTGCACAGGGAGGACGACTCACTGGCCCAAGACGCAAAAGACAAAGCTGACCTTTTAGGCTCCCTTTTTGCGCCCAACTCGACTCTTGATGACGGGGGGAAAACACCGCCGACCATCCCGCAGTGTGAGTGCTCCATGCCAGATATGCTCTTTTCACAGCGCTCGGTTCGCAAAGCACTTCTCTCCCTGGACATCCAGAAGTCGAGTGGGCCTGACGGAATCCCCCCAATTGTGCTGAGGACGTGTGCTCCGGAGTTGGCACCGGTCCTAACGCGTCTTTTCCGGTACTTCTACTCCCAAGGCGTAGTCCCGAATTCATGGAAGACAGCTTTTGTCCACCCGATCCCTAAAAAAGGCGACCGCTCAGACCCGTACAACTATAGGCCTATCGCGATCACCTCCTTGTTCTCCAAAATAATGGAATCCATTATTAACTGCCAGCTCATCCGGTATCTTGAGGATCACCAGCTGATTAGTGACCGCCAATACGGTTTTCGTCGGGGTCGATCAGCTGGTGATCTTCTGGTCTACCTGACCCATAGATGGGCGGAGGCAGTAGCGTCCAAGGGGGAGGCGTTGGCCGTTAGTCTGGACATTGCGAAGGCCTTCAATCGGGTTTGGCACAAAGTTCTTTCGAAGCTCCCTTCCTAGGGGCTTCCCGAGAAATTGTGCAATTGGATCACCAGCTTCCTTGCAGATCGGAGCATCAAGGTCGTTGTAGATGGTGCATGTTCTTACTACAAGCCTATTAACGCTGGTGTTCCTTAAGGCTGTGTGCTATCACCAACGCTGATTCTTCTGCATATCAATGATATGTTGCTAACTGGTAACATTCATTGCTATGCGGATGACAGCACTGGTGATGCTCTTTACACCGGCCGTGCCAATATTTCTCGGGAAAACGTCGCTGAGTACCGGAACAAACTTGTGTCTGAAGTTGAGTCTTTGCTGAACAAAGTCTCGGATTGGGGGCGACTAAATCTAGTCCAGTTTAATCCTCAGAAGACACAAGTTTGCGCGTTTACCGCTAAAAAGAACCCCTTTGTCGTATCTTTGTCGTACCCCTTTGTCGTTTCAAGGCACTCCCCTTCTTGCCTCAGCCAGTATCGGTATCCTCGGAGTTGACATATCGAGTGACGTGCAGTTTCGTGGTCACTTGGAAGAGAAGGCCAAATTGGCCTCTAAAAAGCTTGGCGTGCTCAGCAGAGCGGGACAGTATTTCATGCCGGCACACCACCTGCAACTTTACAAGGCGCAGGTTCGGCCTCACATGGAATACTGTTCCCATCTCTGGGCAGGGTTTCCCCAGTGTCAGCTCCTTCCACTTGACCGCATCCAGCGCAGAGCGGCTCGAATCGTCGACGACCGAGCCCTTTCTGATCGGCTCGATTCATTGGCACTGCGAAGAGATGTTGCATCCCTTTGCATTTTCTTTCGCATCTACCATGGGGAGTGCTCTGAGGAATTGGTCGGATTAATCCCAGCCGCCAAATTTCACGAACGCACATCGCGGCAGAACTTCCGATACCATCCACACCATCTGGTTGATTGGCGCTCCACCACTGTGCGATTCAGAAGATGTTTTCTTCCTCGCACGACTTCCTTGTGGATTCGATTACCATCAGCGATTTTTCCGGACCGATACGACTTAGGGACCTTCAAGAAAAGAGCGTACTCCTTTTTAAAAGGCCGGCAACGCATCTGCGATTCCCTCCCTGGTGTTGCAGTTGTTCATGGGCGGCGGTAGTCACTTACCATCAGGTGAGCCGCATGCTCGTTTGCCCCCTCTCCTATAAAAAAAAAATGTAACCCACCTTTGACAATGCTGCCCGTTGCCAGCTGGGTATTTTACGTCTGTTATAAATTAGATGGTAATATCGTCACCTATGGGAGTCTATAAGGTCTCTTCGATATAACTCCATAGTCGCCTACTACCGCACCCACGGGACAAAACGTGGTGATGAACTCTCTTATGTAGCCATCACACGGTATAATATATACATATAAAGAAAAATGAAGTATATGTCTTTAATATTGAAATAACTGGCTTGTAATAATCACAGAGGATTATTTGTATGTTATTGAGACGTATATAATCTTTGGAATGGTTGAACCGAGTGTGATGAAACTTTACAAACAGATAGAGAGATACTGTTTTTTTCGTGGTAGAGCGATGCTGCAGCTATATTAGTATTATTGTAGTACGAATGGATCGGCTCGACCGTGGAAGTACCACACTCTCACAGAATACCAGTGTAAAATAGCAGCATAACGCTGCTGTGTTCCGTATGGTGAGTGTAGATAACCAGAGACCCTTTTTTACTGGAAACGAGGCATTCCATCATAGTCCTCATGGGTGAAAACGCATCTGCATTTTGATTCGTAATCGAGGATAGATATATATGTCTATGAGACACAGCAACCACTTACCATCAGGTGGACTGTGTGCTTGTTTGTCACTATTTTTCCATAAAAAAACGCCAAGATGGATCTAGACTCTATTTTACATGAAAAACTTGTTTTAAAAAAAAAGTTCTTTGATTATCTTAAATCTAATTAGATTCTATCCAGGTGAATTCGGAGCCGGTCTCTAGTCTATAATAAAATAAAATCTTGTAACGGTATTTAAAGGAGAAATTGGAACATTTCATACAGCATGAGATTAAATTATAACTTTCGCCGTGCACAGCTCCAAACATTAAAGCCATGAAATTTTGTATTATACGGCTGAAATAAATCCTTTCAAATCCCTTATAAAGACTAGCGACGATAATCCCGGCTGAAATTGTTATCGAGGGCCTAATGGAATTTAAAGTAATTAGGTTTGGAATCTTACTCAAAGAAGACAGCGCTCAATGAAGAATTGTATAACCCTTCCATTTAATTACAACTTCGTGACATGAAGGTGTATATTTCAGAGAAACATTAAAATACATCAAAATACTATACGTTTATAAATTTTA